AAAACAGCGATTGAAAAGAATTTTCACACCCATAAATACGGACCAGTTATAAACAGTAAAACTGTAAAATAATAAATCCATTTAGTCATAAACAGGTCATAAAAAGGTTAATTTTCTGAAGCTGCAGTCTTAGCCCTGATTTCTTTGGCGGCCGAGGCAAAAAGAGACACTTTATAACTGACGAGCAGATCAGTGTCAGATAATAGATAGACCAGCTTGTCACTGTCAGAGGAAAAATTTTGTCCTGTTAGCAGATTATCAAGAAATTTAGATCTAACCGCTGTATACATAGGTCAAAATAGTATATAGTGAAGAATGTCCTTGAACTAGTTACTCGCGGGTCACATAAGAGCCCTGGATGGGCCCGTTCCGGCACCTGGGCCTTATGTTCGACACCCCTGTGGCCTAGAGAGTTTCTGTGGAGTAGAATTTCTGAAGCATCCCCTCCCCCCCCCAAAAAAAATAATTTTTGCCTCAATGCAGAAAGAGAGAAGGAGAGAAGAGCAATCCACTTACCCTGCCAGATTATCCTGTCCCCTCCGCCTCACTCGGCTGGGTGGCTGCTTGCTTTCGTAGCTTGCAAATCTGTCCGCCTGGAGCTCACTGTCGTGCTGGCTCTTCACGCCCTCTTTGTAGCACATGAGAGCGGCACATCCCAGCAGGAACCTGGCCAGCCACGCGGCTCCCATAATGGCGGGCGCCACCAGCGACCCCTCCCCAAAAAGATGTCTGGGCTGCAACAGGGTCCCTGAAGCCGAACTGGAGGAAACAGCAGTGTTCTTTCTGGCCCTGGAGAAGGAAAAACAGAACAAGGTGAGCCAAGATCAGGTCAGAGTGTTTGTGGAGCTGCGTGCCCTGGTGTCGTGGGTTCGAATGCTAGACTCAAGAGCAGGGAAACCCAGGTTCAAATCCCTACTTGGCCATCAGTTTCCATGGCTGCCAGTTCTGGGTTGCGGAAATACCTGGAGATTTTGAGGGTGGAGCCTGAGGAGGGTGGAGTTTGGAGAGGGGAGGGACTTCAGTGTAGTCTAATGCTATAGAGTTCACCTTCCAGTGTAGTGGTATAGTGGTTAAGTGCGTGGACTCCAGTTTGGTGTAGTGGCTAAGAGCACGGACTCTGATCTGGGAGAACCGGGTTTGATTCCCCACTCCTCCACATGCAGCTGCTGGTGTGACCTTGGGTCAGTCACAAGTTCTCTCAGATCTGTTCTCTCAAGGACAGTTCTAGAAAGAGCTCTCTCAGCCCCACCTACCTCACAGGGTGTCTGTTGTGGGGAGGGGAAGGGAAAGGAGATTGTAAGCCACTCTGAGACTCCTTTGGGTAGTGAAGGGCGGGGTATAAATCCAATCTTCTTCTTCCAAAACAGCTCTTTTCTCCAGGTGAGTAAACAAAAAGAACTGTGCACCAACACTATACATAAAATTCAATTATTCTTCTTATTATAAGCAAATTAATGCACATTGCAGTACCGTATGCACACAAAGATTTTACCATACATCTTCAAAGGATGTATAGAACTGTTTTTTGAGAAAGCATATGGGAAAAGTGTTTAGAATAAGCCAGCATTCATGGCAGAGAAAGAAGGAAGATCTGTTTGGTGAAAAAATACTTTGTGTGGACTAAATGTGAACACCTAAAGGAGTCGTTCTTAACAGTGTGACTTGGAACTACTATACTCACACTTCTGTACATCCTTTGAAGAAGATATTTTGTGCATTCATCCATACAGTACAGTTTGTGTGCATACAGAATTGCAGTGTGCATTAATTTGCTAATAATAATAATAATAATAATAATAATAATAATAATAATAAGAAGAAGAAGAAGAAGAAGAAGAAGAAGAAGAAGAAGAAGAAGAAGAAGAAGAAGAAGAAGAAGAAGAAGAAGAGGAGATTGGATAGAAGAAGAAGAAGAAGAAGAAGAAGAAGAAGAAGAAGAGATTGGATTTATACCCCGCCCTTCACTACCCAAAGGTGTCTCAGAGCTGCTTACAAACTCCTTTCCCTTCCCCTCCCCACAACAGACACCCTGTGAGGTAAAAGAAGAAGAGGAGATTGGATTTATACCCCACCCTTCACTACCCAAAGGTGTCTCAAAGCGGCTTACAAACTCCTTTCCCTTCCCCTCCCCACAACAGACACCCTGTGAGGTAAAAGAAGAAGAGGAGATTGGATTTATACCCTGCCCATCACTACCCAAAGGTGTCTCAGAGCTGCTTACAAACTCCTTTCCCTCCCCCCCCCCACAACAGACACCCTGTGAGGTAGAAGAAGAAGAAGAAGAGATTGGTTTTATACCCCACCCTTCACTACCCAAAGGTGTCTCAGAGCGGCTTACAAACTCCTTTCACTTCCCCTCCCCACAACAGACACCCTGTGAGGTGAGAATATTTTGAATGTTATGTATAGTGTTGGTGCACAGTTCTTTTTGTGTACTGATCTTATTACTGTGCAGCTCACCTTTTGTGTTCCTGTTTTCTCCAGGAGAACTGATTTGTGTCGCCTAGAAATCAGTGGTAATCCCAGAAGGTCTACAGCCACCACCACCACCGTATGACCATGGCTGAGTAGAGCAAGTCACCCTCTTTCAGACTCAGCTACCTCACAGGCTTGTTGTTAGGATAAGGAAGACAAAAGGAATTATGTTATGTTGCCCTGAGCTCTTTCGCGGAAAGGCAGGATAGCTCGATAGAGACCTAGACAGATTGCTTGCAAACATACTGGAGATGTTTTCCGATCCCTCGTCCCTAGTGCCAGGGCGTACCACAAAATGGAAGAACACAAACAAACAAACAATTAAGAACGTACTTAGCCCATCTTTCCCTGAAAATGGACTCAGATAAGGCAGCAAACTCCAGGTTGGGAAATTCCTTGGATATTTGGGGGTGGAGCCTGGTGAGGGACCTCAGCAGGACATAATGCCGTAGACTCCACCCTCCAAACTGGCCATTTTCTCCAGGGGGACTGATCGCTGTTGTCAGTGGAGACCGTTTGTAATTCTGGGAGATCTCCAGGTCTCACCTGGAGCTTGGCAGCCCGAGGACACACCCATACAAACTCACAGGGGTATATAATTAAAAACTTGGCCGCACAAGCAAGCCCTCTTGAATAATTCTGCCGTCACCAATTAGCGGAGTTTAAACGAAGTGGAAATCTTCCTAACGACCTCAGGAAGGCTATTCCATAAGAGAGAAACAGCCACTGAAAAAGCCCTAGATCTAGCAGCAGTAACTTCCACACAGACGTTTTGCTCCACTGTGGCATTCAAGCTGGAGAGAACCTCAGAAGAGCCCTGCTGGATTAGACCAGTGGTCCATCTGTTAAAGCATCCTGTTTCACACAGTGGCCAACCAGTTCCTCTGGAGGGCCAGCAACAGGGCATAGAAGCTGAGGCCTTCCCCTGATGTTGCCTCCTGGCTCTGGGATTCAGAGGTTTAGTGCCTCTGAATGTGGAGGTTCCCCTCAGTCATCCATGGCTAGTAGTCACTCTATGAATCTATCTAATCCCCTTCTAAAGCTGTTCATTCCTGTGGCCATCACTACATCCTCTGGCAGCGAATCCCACATTTGAATCACTCTCTGTGTACTTCCTTTTGACCATTTTGAATGGTTTCCCCTCACGTGGTGTGATCCTCTAGTCCGGGGGTGTCAGACATAAGGCCCGGGGGCCAGAACCGGCCCATCCAGGGAGTGGCTCTGCCCCCCAAGCAGCCTCCTGTTCCCTCCCTTGCACCAGTTGCTTGCGGGCCGCATTATGCGGCCCGCAAGCAACTGGTGCAAGGGAGGGAACAGGAGGCTGCTTGGGGGGCAGAGCCACTCCCTGGATGGGCCGGTTCTGGCCCCCGGGCCTTATGTCTGACACCCCCGGACTAGAGGATCACACCACGTGAGGGGAAACCATTCAAAATGGTCAAAAGGAAGAATGCTGTTACCTTCCCACCGAAGTGGTACCTATTTATCTACTTGCAATTTCTTGCTTTCATAAGAACATAAGAGACGCCAATGTTGGATCAGGCCAAAGGCCCATCCAGTCCAACACTCTGTGTCACACAGTGGCCAGAAATACCAGTGCCATCAGGAGGTCCAGCAGTGGGGCCAGGACATTAGAAGCCCTCCCACTGTTGACCCCCCCCCCAAGCACCAAGAAGACAGAGCATCACTTGCCCCAGAGCCCCTAGCTATACCTTGTGGCTAATAGCCACTGATGGACCTCTGCTCCATATGCTTATCTAATTCCCTTTTGAAGCCGTCCATGCTTGTAGCACCCACCACTTCCTGTGGCAGTGAATTCCATGTGTTAATCACTCTTTGGGTGAAGAAGTACTTCCTTTTATCCGTTCTAACCCGACCGCTCAGCAATTTCATGGAGTGCCCACGGGTTCTTGTATTGTGAGAAAGGGAGAAAAGTACCTCTTTCTTTACCTGCTCTTTCCCATGCATAATCTTATAAACCTCAATCATGTCACCCCTCAGTCGTCGTTTCTCCAAGCTAAAGAGCCCTAAGCGCTTTAACCTTTCCTCATAGGGAAAGTGTTCCAACCCTTTTATCATTCGAGTTGCCCTTTTCTGCACTTTTTCCAAAGCTATAATATCCTTTTTAAGGTGTGGTGCCCAGAACTGCACACAGTATTCCAAATGAGGTCTCACCATTGATTTATATAGGGGCATTATGATATTGGCTGATCTGTTTTCAATACCCTTCCTAATAATCCCCAGCATAGCATTGGCCTTCTTTATTGCAGTCACACACTGTCTCGACATTTTCAGTGAGTTATCTACTACAACTCCAAGATCTCTCTCTTGATCAGTCTCTGCCAGTTCAGACCCCATCAATGTGTATTTATAGTTAGGATTTTTGGCTCCAATGTGCATCACCTTGCACTTGGCCACATTGAACCCCATTTGCCATGTTGACGCCCACTCGCCCATCCTTGACAGATCCCTTTGGAGTGCCTCACAATCCTCACTGGTTTTCACCACCCTGAACAACTTTGTATCATCCGCAAATTTAGCCACTTCACTGCTTACTCCCAACTCAAAAACATTAATGAACAAGTTAAAAAGCAGTGGACCAAGTACTGATCCCTGCGGTACTTCCACACACTGTGGGCCTAGTCCTTCCACCGAGCATGCGACTGGGCCGCCGGGCCTCCCTCTCCCATGGGCCACACAGCACATGGCTCGGCTCCACAAAGTGACATTTATGTCAGATCCGGCCCTCTTAACAAATGAGTTCGACACCCCGGTTCTAGTCATCCACTTCCCATGGGTTCCCTGGATCTTTCCCAAACCTGGCTTCTCTCCCAAACCTGGCTTTATAGTTACCCTGGGGGGGGGGGGGGGAGGACTGCAGTCCAGAAGGGCCCATTTTGGCGGCTCCCACCCACATAGGAGCCATTTCCCTTGCCTCAGGACCCCGTGGCTGTCATTCCTCCGGTGGCCACCAGATGGCTTTGAAAAAATATAATTAACATCGCACCATAGTTAGATTCAGGTGGGGTCGCCGTGTTGGTATAAGATTTTGTGTGTACGCACACTTCTTCAGATACCGACTGTATCTGAAAAAGTGTGCGTGCACGCGAAAGCTTATATCTTGAATAAAACTTTTGTCCGTCTTAAAGGCGCCGATGGACTGATAGCACCGTAGTGCTAAGCTACAGTCATATGTCTTCTTCCAGTCACTTACTGG